ATAAAACGACTGAGACCTCGCCAAGCGAGATGGGCTCTTTTCTTCTCTCGATTCTCATTCCATATAACGTACCGACCCGGTACTAAGAACACTAAACCAGACGCTCTGTCACCGCATGTTTGAGGGACCCCGACGACGCTGTGGTACCTGACCACCATTTCTTACCTTCTGGGAGTTTCCTCGCTCTACAAACGGAACTTCGCTCCCGGCTTCTCGATGCTTCTGTAGGACTTACCAGTTCCATCTGGGTCACCCCTCCAGAGCCATGTGTGGGCTATTTGGTAGTGACTCTAAATGGTCCGGATCATGGTCCCAGAAGAAGTGCGAACCTTGGTCCTAGGCACTGCCACGACCATCACAATGGCGGGCCACTTCGGGGGTAACGAAAACTCTGGATCTACTACGGCGCTCGTTCTGGTGGCCAGACATGATCAAGGATTGTGAGCATTACGTCCGAACTTGTCCCATGGGCCTAGTCAAAGGAACAAGCCTCCATGGAGCAGGGCATGGGATTGTTACGTCCATTACCAAATACCCAAGCGGGCATGGCAAATGATAGCCATGGATTTCGTGGTCCCGAACTTCCACCATCCCAGGGCTACACTGCAATAATGGTGATCGTCGACCGCGTCTTCTCAAAGATGGCACATTTCGTTTGCCCCTGGAGAAGACCCCATCAGCACCAGAAAACGGCACGGATCTTCATCAAGGGGAAAAGTGGTTAGGCTTCATGGTGTTCCCGAAGATATGTAGTGTCATGATCGGGGGGTCCAATTCACACTCCAGGTTCTGGAACGCCTTATGTAAATCGCTGAGGAATCAAGCTGTCGCTTTCATCCCGCCTACCATCCACATCAGATCCCAAAAGGCCAAACTGACGTGGGACAAACCAGACGCTGGAAGTACTTACGGCGCTACAACATCCTACCTTCAGGATGACTGGCTGTCGTTGCTGCCTTCCGGATTTCTCATACAACAACTCGAGTTCACTCAGCTACGGGTCAATCCCCGTTCTTTTCCAATTATGGGGTATCATCCCACTTTCCTCCTGATCTGATGCCTGAGAATCCTTGGGGTACCGGCATCTCAAGACATCTGAAAAAAAATATGAACATTCTTTTCTGTCAATAACAAGACAATTCAGTGAGGCCATCGCTAAAGCCCAAAGAGGACAGTAAAAGGGCATTCGACAGAAAGAGAAGAGGAGAATTACTGCTTCAACCGGTTGGGGATCTGGTTTGGCTTAGCAACAACCAACTTGAAGAGTACTGTGTCCTTCAAGGAAGCTGGGACCCAAGTACATTGGCCCCATTTCCGGTTAAAACGAGTAGTTAACGAGGTGGCCTACGAACTCGAGCTTCCGCAGACCTTCAAGATACATCCTGTGTTCCATGTTTCTCTCCTGAAGCCATCCAGACCGGATCCCTTCCCGGACCGTGAATCCAGACCTCTCCCGAGGCAGTCACCATAGGTGACCAGGAGGAATACGAAGTGGAGACTTATCCTCAGTTGCCGAAGGAGGGGGGGCCAGACACAGTTCCTGATAAAATGGAAGGGGTATGGCCCTGAGGAGAACTCATGGGAACCCGCCCAGAACGTCCACGCTCCCAGGCACCCAGGCTCATCGGGAGGGAATTTTTGTCGTGCTCCACCCGCGGGTGGAGAGATCAGTGGGCGGTTCCCGGAGGGTGCCCATTGGGGGGGGGGCAATGTCAGGGATCGCGGCTGCCCGTGCTCCGCGATCGCGGCTCTGTACCCCGCGCCGATGCATGCGCATTGCGCGGCAGATCGCGCCGGGATCACAGGCACTAGGTGACCCGACTTCGAGCCGCGGCTGACAGGACGCCCGCGCATATGCGCAGTAGGTGCCGGGGGCGTGCCTCAGGCGCCCAATGACAGCCGGGGGCGCGTCCTAGCCGGCCAATGACAGTGCAGGGCGCACTATTTTAAAGATGCCCTGCACTGTCACAGATTTGCCGCAAGGTCTCCTGTGATCCCGAGTTCCTGTACCTGTCTAGTGAGAGCCCTGATTGACCCTGACTACGCTGCCTGCTCCTGTGATTGACCCGGATTGTCCTGACTATTCTGCCTGCTCCTGTGATTGACCCGGATTGTCCTGACTACTCTGCCTGCTCCTGCGTTTGACCCGGATTGCCTGACCATTCTAACGGATTGACTTCCCTGCTGACCCTGCGTGTGATACCCGACTACTCTTCTCCTACCGATTCTGTACCCCGCTTACCTCACGGGCATCCACGATCCGTTACTACCCTGCTGGGGCCGCCACCCTCTTCGTATCTGGCTCTCCCGGTACCTGTCCCCAAAGGTCTCCTCAGCCACTGGTGGGTGCTGCTACGGAGGTCGTGACCTGGCCCGGGACCGTTTTCAAGTACATCCCCACCATCAGGGGCTCTGGTGAAAGCACAGCCCGGGCTTAGACCCCACGCTCTGAGTAGGTCTGTCAGTTGGCAGCCTGAGGCACCACCTGGCGGATCATAACAGAATGGAGCAGCTGGAGACAGAGAAGAGCTGGAGGATGGAACACGAGGAGGGAACAGATGCTACAGAGGACTTCTTTACAGGGTTTAAAGGCAGGATGGTGCAGCGAGTGGGAACAGGGTACTGACATGCGGTAGGTAGCAGGGCAGGAGGAGCTGTGTATGTGATAAATCCTCTGAATACATCTGTCTGTGGTGACAGGGTGTAGTACAGACGCTTATATTAATATCATAGTGTTACTGCTGAGATTTGTGAGTTTCCTCCCTCTCTGTAAAAAGGTGGTTTGGTGGGCAGTGTGAAGGGTTAACTGCGTAATTAACCTGACCCAGTAACAATCGCTCTCAGGCTGCTGGCAGATGATTGTGGTCCGCTGAAAGTGGCATTGTTACGCAATTGACAGCGTTGGTCTGAGATCGGCTGGTCCTTCGGTCACAAGTTGGTGAGAAGGGCTGGGGTCTGACACCGCGCAACAGTCACAGGTATGGGATTATATTTTTTTTTCTTAATGGTTGAACTGGATGGACTTTTGTCTTTTTTCAGCCAGACTAACTAATTATGTAAGTCTATCTCTATAGCAACTACTCTTCTTCTTCTTTTTTGTTGCAGGTAAATAATGGATTCCAAGCAGAAGCAACGTCATTGATTGTGAGTTCTTGACGAAGGAGAGATGCAGGCTGTCTGACATCCACAGAAGGCTACAGAATGTTTATGGAGATGACACCACTGACAAGAGCAATGTGCATAAATGGATGAAGATGTATAAATGGTGTAATCCCCATCAATATATTCTGTAGCCTTCTGTGGATGTCAGGCAGCCTGCACCCCTCCTTCATCAAGAACTCAATGACGGTACATCTACTTCTACTTGGAATCCATTATTTACCTGCAATGAAGAAGAATAGTTACTACAAAGGAAGTGTTACTCTACCAATATGTGACATTTGAACAACCTAGTTAAGTTATTTAAATAAGTTATGTCCACTTTTTTATTACTTTCAGTGCAGTGGAAAAAACAGACTCTGGTTTTTCAAATATATTCAATAAAAAGTTAATAAAAGCAACAGTTTTTGTGTTTAGTGCAATGAACTGTGGATGCCAAATTCTGGTATATCGAAGCTTCGCCATTGAAAGATGATTTCTTATTGTTTGCTCTTCACACATTGCCTAAATAATCCTGTTTATCCCATATGTATTCTGACATGTTAAATGACCTGCAAAAAGTATAGGTTAAAGCAGAAGTAAACTGTAAAAATAAAGAAAATGATAAATAAACAATTCAAAAACTCTAAAAAAAAAAAAAAAAAATGCCAGGATGTAGAGACATGCAACGGCTCTTCTGACGAAAAAGTTCTTCCCTTTTCCCCAAAAAATCTTTGATTTTCGATGTACATTGTATGGCGCATGCTAAGTGCAATGTACACTCCTGGCTCATTACTTGCATCCAAAACATGCTGAGAATACAGCCATGTGTCGGGAACTATGTAACTGTTGCATCATCAGTGGCCACCCAATGGCAAAGGATGACAACTGAGAACCCAGAAGCAGTGGCAGTGGAGATGGTGGTGGTGGGGCCAGAGCTTGCTTTGGATGGTGCTGGAGAAGGGCGCACTTGTAAGATAAGTCTGCCATAGTGTGGAAACAGAGGGAGAGAGGAGCTCATCACTGTGCTACTTCTTTTATTGACCATTTACAAGGTCAGGTTGGGGAGGGGACCTGTAAGTAAAAGTGCTGCTGCTGCAGCAGAAGAAGGCCAGGTCCCCTCCCCTGCTAGACAGGACTGTGCTGTGCGACAGAGCTATATAAATCTCAGGAGTGGATGGACAAAAACGACAATTTCTTTTGTCAGGTGTAACAGCTGTCTTATATGCATTACATTTTTGTATTTCACTGTGTGCCTGGAGTTCAGCTTTAAAGTGACACTAAACTCTGGTTTAAAAAAAAACTATTCAAGCCTTATCTTAAAGGAGGTATCCTCTAGAGACTAAAAGCAATTGGAATTTTACATTAAAAAGCATTTGCAGAGTGTACTAATGCTAAGAACCCAACTATGAATGTGGTACTCTTCCAGCCTTCCAGAATGGAAAAGGGTCAGGCTCAGTGAGGCAGGCAGGTCTTGTCCGAACACGAATGGGGGTTGGGAGGGGCTGGTAAGGGGGTATTTGGGCTGTCTTCAGACTGAGCTTAAAGCAGAACTAAACTCATTGGTTAAAAAAACCATTTCCCAAAACAGTTAGGCTTCATTTACATGGGGCATACTTAAAATGTTACTAAACCCAGGACCCTAAACTCACTATATCTGGTCTCCCACAGTACACACAACATGGAAATGCAATTTATTTTAGTAAATATAAACTGCTAAATAACTTTTCTCATCAGCTGTTAGAGCAGTCTTGTGACTTTAGCTGAACACTGGTTAAAGCTTGTAGAAGGAGTTTTCTCTAGGAGGATGCAGAACCTCTGACTGCTGTCTGGACGGTGCTGTTTGACCCTGTGCTGGTCACATGCACTCTCCCAAGAAAAAAAGTCTCTAGTAATACACACTAAACTGAGCATGTGCAAAAGAGCACGGGTTCAGGCTGTCTTATCAGCGTGAACATTTGAACAAGAGGAGGGGCAGAGAAGAAGGGATCAAACGGCCATTTTACACAATGCAGAGGATTAACCTCTTAGGTTCCACAGTGAGTATAACAAGCATGCTTTACTGCATATATAGACTGATTTTACTGTTGTGGGTAAAGTAACGCTTTACCTCAGAAAACCTCCTTCTATTGCTCCCAGCTTTCTCTAAATCTCAAAAACACTTTTTATTTGCTGCTGTGGTTTTGAGTTCCTGTTAGAGGGTGGCTACATGAATTCTACATGGTCTTACTGTAAGTAGGACTGTAGCCAACCTGTCTTGCTCACGCCTGAGATAACCTATGGACTATGTATAGCAATCTTCTATGGGATTTGTACTGTGTGTAGAACATAGAATTCCAAATAAACAGAAGGAGGGGAATAAGATAGGTTCAGAACTCATGGAGGATGTTACAAGGAGGCAAAAAAAAAAAACACTATAAAAAGCAAAAAAGCATTTCATAAAAAATAAATTACAGGGCTATTACATTTTGGATGTGTATGGTTTATTTTTGGAGAATCAGAATATCGTTTAATGTCATTTTGGAGGTGTTCCAGATAAAGGATAATTGGGTCACCCTGTGTGTAAAATTACACATATTTCTTCATTCCCAATGAGGACATTTCAGCAGTGTGAACTCTTCTAAATTCACACAAGGCCAAGTCCTGTCTTAGTGCTGACAAGTCCTCATTGAAGCCACTCAGGCTGACACAATAGGTGTATTTATAGAGACATTTGTTAACCTTGGATGAAGACTACAGCAGGCTCCGGGGAAGAGTTCTTTTATTCACCCGTAACAGGATCAGGAAAGAGACACAACAAACTGGATTAGGAAGTGTTGGGATTAGGGCCATTTCACTTGGAAGCCAAACTTTTTATCTGCTCAGCTCTCTTGGTGTCCGCTTTGGCCTTCTTCTAATTTTAGAGGGTGTCTTTACTGAGGAAACATCAAAGCAGCAGATAGTACTCCTGAAAATGCTAGCCATCTATTTGCTTTAGTTTTGTACCAACTGCTCCTGTGTAGACTAACATTATCAGACCAGTCTCCTCAGTGTCGGTAAGAATTACATGTAGCATCGCTATTTTGCTAATTGCTCTTATAATTACTTATAATTACTCAATATTCAAAGCAGTTCAAAGGGATGATCTTTCATATGATGTCAGTTAAAGCAACCTTGCAAGTATTTTTTTTTAAATAAATTGTTCCTAATGAACCACTTATTAACTCCAATTAGCCCTAATAAATTCCTTCCTCCCCTTCTTCCTTTTTTTACCATTAATTTTTAACCTTGCTTCATTTTTTTATTTTGTTACTTAACGTTTTTAGTGAAGCTTTTTTTTAAAACGGCCAACGCTGGGAAAAAAAAAGCCTTTCATTTATTTGTAAATTATTTTGCTGTGCATTTTAATAGAAATTTATTTTAGTGTCATTATTAGACATGTGCACGCTGGAAATTTTAATTTGGTTTCATCTTTGTTATGGCAAACCAATTTCGTTTTTGGAATTTTTTTCATATCTTTGGCATTTTTTTCGTATATTTGTTGGTCTGGGTGGATGAAAAAAAATGTAGCCATTTTTCTGGAAGATTGCTATATATTTGATATTTTATCAAATCAGTTAGATTTGAATCAGAAGGATTCATTTAAGATGCTAGTCCAACCCACCAAGAGAGAAAAGGCACGAACTGATTGGATGATATCGACTTGGTCATGTGCATCTGAATTAACAAATAAAACAAAATTTGGGTCAATTTGTTAACTGAACAAATTATCAAACAAATTCAAAAATGTAATTCATTTCCCCATGGGCCCAAACCACTGTTACATCATGTAAAGTCATCCAAATAAAACAAATGTATTTGTTTTTGTTATAACGTTTTTTTCTAACTGTTGACATTCGTTACTATTTCCATTTAGCGAGTAGTATACATCCGAATCTCAGAAAATTTAATTTTTTGTCTAAAAAATTAATCATATTAAAATTAAAGGCACATGTCCAGTTATTATAAATAACAAATCATAGAATAAAATATTTTATCACAGTGACAGAATTAAAATGGACACTGGTCAAACTAGAAAAAAAGACATTTTTTTTATTCTGTAAATTTGTTTGTCTTTAGATTGCATAGAAAATAATATGTGTAATTTTTGCAAGACCATATTGCAAAGAAAAATCCTTGTTTGTACTATATATTTAACACTTTGGTTACCTTATACAAAAAGTTAGTGCCACTTCTTTTAGAACCAAATCAGTATGTCCATAGGAGTTTACAGATGTGAGAGCTGAAGTGTATGTAAAACCTAATACTGAGAGGAAAGCCAGAAAGTGTGAAAGGGGACATCTACACTGATAATCAGAGCATTAGTGTCCTTATTATCAGTGCAGCCCCAACAGTGCCCATCAGTGCAGCCTATCAATGCCAATCAGTGTCCATCAGCGCTGCCAATCAGTGCCCATCAGTGCCCCTATCAGTGCCTTCTATCTGTGCCACCTATCAGTGCCCTTCAGTGCCGCCTATCAGTGCCGCATATCAGTGCAGCCTCATCAGTGCTGCCTATCAATGCTGTCTTATCAGTGCCACCTGATCAATGCCCATCAGTGCTTCCTATCAGTGCCCATCAGTGCTGACTCATCAGCGCACATCAGTTAAGGGAAAAATTACCTGTTTGTAAAATTTTATAACAGAAACTAAGGAATTTTTTTTCAAAATTGTCGGTCTTTTTTCACTTGTTTAGCAAAAAATAAAAACACCAGTGGAAATACCACCAAAAGAAAGCTCTATTTGTATGAAAAAAAATTATAAAAATGTCTTATGGGTGCAGTGTTGCATGACCGCGCAATTGTCATTCAAAGTTTGACAGCGCTGAAAATTGGCCTGGGCAGGAAGGGGGTAATGTATTGCTGTGTATTGACTGAAGTGAATTGACTGACTTAACTGAAATGATACATTAAGCCTGATGACCGAAAAAGGATGCCGATTAACACCTAACATGCTTGAGTGGGGGTGTACACAGAGGCTGGAGTTCTGCTTTAAATCACGAATACCATTTCCTAGCGAAATACTTTCCAATACACATAGCTAAGACTTTTTTCTATAATTATTACTAAAAAAACCCCCCAAAAAAACAAAATAACAGCGCTAGTGAACAAACATAAAAACAGTAAAAAATCAAATACTTACTGTATATCATAGTGAATTTACATCAGTGAATTTCATACAGTGAAAATAAAAAATGATCTAAAGTGTCCATGTGAAACATGAATCCAAATTCATGTTACAATTACAATTAAATCCCCTTCTTCTCCAAAAGTATATATACAGTGCCAAGTGCGATCTATGTTGCGATAATTCACAACGATGTGAAAAAACTGCACCACCTCCACAAATAGATATCAGGGCCTCTTACCAGACCAGGTGGACCATAAAATTATAAATGGTCATAAAGTGCTCAACTCGAAGATGTGCAGTCACAATCTCCCCTTCCTTTAGATTGTAAGCTCCACGAGCAGGGCCCTCCTATTCCTTCTGTACTGAAAGTATTGTAATTGTACTGTCTCCCTTATATTGTAAAGCTCTGCACAAACTGTTGGCGCTATATAAACCCTGTATAATAATAATAATAATAATCTCACCATAGCACCATATTCCAAAATGGACAGACCATTAGAGGGTGAAAGTAATGGCACTGCGCGTCCAAATAGGACTCCACAACAGTAGATCAATGGCCATAATATAAAAAAAACCAAAGAGAACGCATACATGGTGAAGTATGCCCAAAAAACTCATTTATTTCTTAAAATCAATGGTTCACATTCCAAAAAAGATTCTGATCCAAGAAAAAAAACCACTGTGCTTACATAAAACAGCAATATGGTACGCTGATGGCCCCAGCATGGAAAGACGCTCCACTCGTCCAGTGACACACAGACCAATGTACCAACGCGATGACGTCACACATACAAGCCCTGCCCTACATGTTTCGTCGCACAGACGTCTTCCGTGGCATTCGGCTGTATGGAGGTCATCGCGTACTCGAGGATTTAAATATCATCTGTCTACCATGAGCTGTGGCTCCATCTAGTGGTTACATGTTAAATCACAATACATGCACCTCCAACTCACATTGGGATTAAAAAAGAGTATATTTTTCCCTATAGAGAAAAAGTGTTCCTCTCATTCTTTAAACATATAATCATTTTAAAAAAATTTCTTCTTCTGTCTTCAAAAATTTAGTGCTTAAAGATATAGATCGTTTGAAAATAAAGAATAGCAAGAAAGATGCAGAGTTTGAAGAAGGTCTCAGGAAATTAAGAGAACGTAAAGATGTGCTAGGTTGTTCCATGGATAAGGGGGGGGGGGGAGACATAGTTGTCTTAAATAAAGAAATGTATATAAATGAAATGAATAGAATATTGTTGGATTCTGATACTAATGCTCCCCTTTGTAATAATCCCACTAATCAGTATAAGAAATCAAATTTTTATTGATAAGGGTTTTAAAGATGGCATTTTAAATAAAATAGAAAAGATGTATTTAATTCCTAATACACCCCGGGTGCCTGTAATGTACTATTTACCAAAAATTCATAAAAATGTAATGGACTCTCTTGGACGCCCTATTATCTGTGGCATAGATTCGATTACATCTCAGATCGGGAAATTAATTGACGGTTTTTTACAGCCTTTAGTTTCTAGAACTCCATCTTATCTTAAAGATACTTCACATGTTATTAACATTCTTAAGCAACTAAAATGGTAAGAAGGTTATGTTATGGGTACTGCGGATGTTATGTCTTTATATACAGTGATTTCCCATACCCATGGCCTCGAAGCAGTTGAATACTTTCTGTCTGATGATAACACTCTGGCAAGGAATCAAATTAATTTTATTTTGGGTTTATTGAA